ATTGTATAAATGACTACATTTGTGGTCACGGGGAGCCCTTGCTCTAGATGCATTAGGTAGAGTTCTGCAGCCCTTGGGAACCCAGGACCAGCAACAATTCCTTGTTCTTGCACTGCCAAAAGATAAAGCTATTAAAAAAAAATTTCACACTTATATTTTGTTATTTGCATGAAGTTAATCATGCAAAATGTTCTGCTCACTGTTTCCTGCTCCCATATATCTGGAGCTGCCTTTTTTCTTTTATAAAGCTTCACACCACAGGTATACAGAAGACACATCAGAGCTGTAAGAACATCAAATAGCTAAAGCCCTGCAGAAGACTAAAGTGGGTAATACTCATCTCAGATTTCAGATAGTTAATATTCCCCCAACAGTGCTCACACCAATTTTGGAACCATCCACTTTCGCCTTAATATACAAGAAAAGGAATCTGGGATTTCATATGTGCCATGTATAATGATTTTCTCCGAAACAATACAAAAATAACTGAAAGAACTTTTTAAAAAATTACATCCTAACTGTTCTTCTGTTTTATTTCTTCCCTCTATTTTAAGCTCTTAGGTATTCATATTGCTGGAAAATTGACTGGCCCAGCCTTCTCATTCTCCAGCAAGAAATATCCCAGAGCAGACATCCCATCTCTGACCTCGACAGCCCACTCTGCGATGACAAAGTGTATCACATCTGTGCTCAGTCAGTCTCCAGCTCCCCGGCAGAGCTGCCAGAGGAGGTGCCAGTTGCGGGGGTATTTCCTTTCTGCCAAGCGCTGCCAGCTTGGCTCACGTCACGTTAGCAATAGCCAGAGGATTGCTAGAACCTGGCCCACAGAAGAGTTTCAATTTTAGCAGATCCATCCAGTAGCTTATTATAAAACAGCAGCTTAAAGTCTAACTGACTAATTAGGTCCCCAGCTTAGAATATTGATTTTGGTTTTAAATGCTTCTTTTCTCGCCTTCTTTCCAATCCCGTAGACTGCCTCAGTCTAGGCTTACACTGCATAGCAATATTCAGCAGACTAAGCGGCTGTAACAGCAACAGCCCCTTGACACCTAGTGCGTTTGAAAAATATTAGAAAATATTATAAACTCCCTAAAAGGAGAAGACGTTAATTTTCAGCATTTCAGTTTAAAACAGCCTCAACCCTGGCCCTGATTCCAGAAAATACAAATAAATAGTGGTGAACTCTGTTTCCAACTTTTTAGGTTGTACGACACCCATCAGCATAGCAGCAAAGAAAAGAAAGAACACACATTTGGAACAGATTTAATACGCATTTCACTGATCTAAATTGTCTTGAATCGCAGTGTAACATTGCCACCAGGCGGGCAAACGCTCCCCTTTGGCGTGCCAGCGCCCGTCCTTCGGGGACGGCTGGCGAGGCTGGAGGGGCCCGTGTTTCGCAGACCCAGACCCCCCTAAACAAGCAGGCATTGTTTGAACACCTGCACATCTCCCTGTGCAGCTGGGAGGGTGCCAGCGGTGCCGCTCGCCGCTGGCCGCAGTTCAAACCGTGACCTTTTTAGGCAGGAAGCCGGCAAAGGCTGGGGTTTCATGTCAGAAAGCTGGCAGAGAGAGCAGCAAGAGAAAGGGAGACGGCAGGCCGGCCAAGCCGCATACCAAGTAAAACAGAGTTTCAGAAATGTCATTGGTCTCCCTCCCCTGCACGCTTTTTCTGAAAGTGCTCTTTGCTGGTGATAACACCCTGCAGCCATCACGTACTTGGAAAGACGCGCGCTCGCTGTGGGAAGGACTCGAACGCTCATTCAGCACAGAGCGGTACATCAGGAAGCGGTTTTAGTATTCCAGGCAGAGGGCTGATGGAGGAGCTGTCAGCTGTGCCACACTATGTCGGTAAGCAAACAGCAGCTTACAAAAACCTGCACGAAACTCCCCAAAGCAGAGATAAAATTGAAGGCCACCTAAAGCTTATTATTCCTCGCTGCAAGACAGAACAATTATGAAAAGCAGTTACCAGGCCACTCTGCTTCCTCCTTTACCGAAAGCTGGCTGAGAGATCTATTTTACAAATCACAGTCAGTTTATGGTACAGGGACAGGGTTATCCCCAGAAGAAATCAAGGGAGCACAGCCATGAAACATTTCAGAGTAAAACAACCACCTTTATAGTTGCAGCCAAAAGGATTTAAAAAAAAAAAAAACCACACAAAAAAACCCCTAACAACTACCAAAATATTCCAGAAATTTGGAAAAATAAAGTCCCTTTGTTAGGCATCTCAAAGTGACATGGAGATAGGCCCTAGGAATAAGCAAACTAGAATAAACCAAATGATTTTTAAGGCTTCTTGAATGATGGTGATGGGGACAAAATCAAACTCCCAGCACTTAAATGCTATGGCACAAGCCTTCACATGACATCTATGGTGCAGAAGAAAAGGCTATGCAAAGAGTTTTGCACTTAATATACTACTAGCAGAAAGAGGATCTGACTTTGCCTTGGTGTTGGTATTTCACCTAGCTGTCTTGCTGATAACACATCTACAGGGACTTCAATTACTTCTGTGAGCGTATGTGTAATGACATAACATTCCCACAGCACCCGCAGTTATTAATGCAAGTTTCCTGGGGAGAAATAAACCAGCAAGGGTGAAAATCCAGCCGTTGTTTAAAACGACTTCATACACGACCAAAATCTTGGCTGAACTTCTTGTACCTGGTACCAGCTTTTTAAATAAATTTGCTGTTAAGTACGCTGCTATTCAGGAGGAAGATAAAGTTTAAAAACTTAAGAGGGCCAAACAATATTGGGAATATCATCAGCTTTGAGTTTTGTTGTTGCAATTAATATCCTGTTACTACCACAATGCTACAAAAAAGTCGGCACTGTATTTCACACGGAAATACAGGGTTTGTTAAACTGATGCATCATTACCTCACTCTCCCACTATTTACTTGTGCAGCACCTTTTGAACTGCAACTCTTCTGGAACAGGAAAGCCCAGAGGAATGGTTAAAGTTCTGTTCTTCTGGCAACCTATTGTTGAGCAAATACAATTTATCTTTATTTCACACCGACACTCTAAACAGCTGTTTTGAGAGGGATCACTTTCAGTCTCGTAGGCAGGTAACATTGTTCTACAAGTGTTAGAACTGGGATAGTATTGAAAGCACTGAAAGCCAAGCATTAGCTCCAAAGATGTACTTTATTTCATTATAAAGCAGATTGTTTAGGCATTATTTCTTTTTTGTGAACATCCACTGTATGATCAGCAGGTCCTGCCTCGAGGACATAGCTGCTTGATAACTGACAGAGATTTAACACTAGACAACAAAAATACAGATGCATAGAACAAGTGCTGCTTAGACACTGAAGAGCTAATGGTCTAAACTGCAACCGTTTCAAACAGATGATATGACCAAAAATACGAGTACAGCTCCAGCCCAGCCAGAGCGGTGTGTCCAAAGTGAAGTCCTTTTTATTTCAAAAGAAAATTTGTATTGGGCTTCCTGGAAAAACAACAAAACAATCCCCAAAGCAGAACCACCGCACCATGCTCCTTCCCTCTCAATTTTTAACTGTCCCATCTTTCACATCAGAATTGTGCTGTGGCACACTAGTACTTTATGAGAGACAGAAAAATTACCAAATGTAGTGTGAAGTAATAGTGAATGGTTGGTAGCGAGCATTTCACAGATACTTTATCCCAACACTTTTGTTCCTTTTCCAATTGTGATCCTCACCCCAGGAGCTTCACGTTTATTGACAGATGTATCTCACTCCAGGTTTGCAGATTTCTGACGCATTTGGTGTTTGAGCTTGGTGCATTAACAAGGGCTTCTGGATGTCATCTGTGCTCCTTGGGTACGTAACAGAGTCCCATTGCTCCAAGCAGAAACAGTAATTCATATACTGTCAGCCCAACATGCAAAAATGCACAGAAGGCATGTCGATGCAGTAGAGAGAAACATTCCAATATTACAACTCCTCATTCTGGTTTCCACACTGTCCAATACTGATCGAGGAAAAGTGTATTTACAAGACTCGTACACAAATATTTGCATTTGGTCCTAGGCACCTGATTAGTACTGGCAATCTAAATTAAAATGGAGAATTAAGTATTATTCTGGTGCATTAAAGCCTTTTACAGTAACTTCAATTTGAAAGTGTGGTCTTCAAAAAAAGAAGGAATATCCATACCTTCTGAAAACATGCTTTTCTATGCACCAGTCAAGTCCATGAGATTATAGGATGGAAAAGCCTTCTACATAAGAAACTTACAAGTTATCTGACAAGGGTCTCATATCTAAAGCTACAGGAACAGAAAAGTAACTACATTCTTTCCCCACTCCTTTGTGGCAATGAGACTCAAAATTCACTAGGTATGAGTAGCCAGATAACAACCTGATTGCTACAAGACCAGAATTTGTTATCAATGAGAGAAACTTCGCTTCAGCAAAGAGCACAAGCAGATTTGCATCTAAGCAGCCATAACATCCATTTCTTTCAGCTAGCATCAGAACTAGCAGCACCACCACTAATGGCAATGAAAACTAATTGGAAGGTTTTACAAAGCTGCCAGCATGACCAAGTTTCAAAGTTGCAACTCTTAGGCACAGACTCTGGCAGAATCTAGATTGACCTGAGTTTTCTGCTTATGGAAGAGAGGTGGTAGGAAAGAACAAATTCCTACCTTAGACAGAAACTTGACAACAGTCTCAAGCCAATATTCAACATCTGACAAGGTCTAGTGTAGTAATTACAAGACAAAACATTTGGAATTAGAAATATCATTTAGTAAAAAGAAACAACTGCCTTCCAAATCTGCCATACTGAAAAAAACCCCAAACACAAAACCGAACATATTAAACACCGTTTGTGCTTACAACCATAATTAGGGAACTTGAGCATTAGAAGGAGAGATTTTTCTCACCACTACTCAAAGGAGCTGCATAAACAAGTTAAATGGAAAAAAATCCCTTCCAAACAGTAATTTAACAAACATTTATTAAAACGTATAAAGGCTTTGGGTATACTAAATTTGAAAGGGGCTCAAAAAAATTTCAAGAGTCATTGAACTAAACCCAATTCAGAAAGCTGATTCTCCTAACACATAATTAAAAAACAATTATCTTAAAAAAATTTTTTGCACATTTTTCCTCATCAATTTATAAAATGCAAACAGTGTGCTAGAAAAGTTTGAACATAAGGGAATGCGCTTTGGAAACATTATTAAAATATGTGTTCTTATAGAATGACCATATCAAGTTTACATTACTACTTTTCACCTGACCACCTATATTTTGAGAATGTTCCTCCCCTCTTTCCTGGGTCCATGAGAAGCTAGGTTTAGAAAAGAAGAGCTCCCATACTGCCAACTTCACTCTGTTCCTTTACAAAAATTTCAAAGTACTGATAAATGATAGTGACAGCAAGCAAAATTCCAGTTCCAGACCCAATTGCCCCAAGGAAGTCTGCCAACACAGAGAGTGCACCAATACAGAGACCACCAAATGCAGCAGCTGTAGGGATGTACCTGTAAAACACAAAATGAGAATAGAAAAGGTGTCATTAGAGTTTGCTCAGGATACTAACAAATATACTAGGGTTAGTGGTACGTGGGATCTATGGAAAGTACCATAGATCAGATGGGAAACCAATCCCACTGAGAACAGAAAGAACACTACAGAGATAATCTAACCAGATGGTTAAAAAACCCAAGGAAACTACATGAATGGAAGAAAGCCAATGGCAGAATACTCTCTTCTCTCACGGGTCTACAATCCAAGATAAGGAATATGCAGTACTGCCAGTATACTAGGTAAGAAAATAAAAAGCTCAACCTGATCGGAGGGGAAAAAAATTGCTAAGCTAAGAAGGTATTACAGTGTACCATGCAATTAAACACAAAGATTAAGCTTGTGGCTACTAGCTCTTTAAGTCATTTGCAGATGACTGAAATCCAAGTTATGATAAACATTTCTGTAACACGAAGGATGCACGGTTCTACCCTGCAATTAGAAAACCTAGAGAGACCACCTGCTGCCTACCTCTACCTCCGCACCTAGGAGACTGAAGTAGCTATTTGTTTTAGAAGCAAGGTCTGCATGAAAACAGAACTCAAGGCATAATATCACATCAAAAAATACAGTAAAAAAAATACTTGTGCATCAGTCTGAAGTACTAAAGTACACTCAAATGCTCATTATTAGCTATCCTGTAGGAAGTATAAAAATGAAAAAAATATAACAAGAAAATACAAGCTCCAGAATTTAAGGCACATTCTCTAATTGTAAGGCAAGAATATGCTGTACTGTACAAGTCTTCCATTAATGAGACAATGTTCTATGTTTCACGCACGTAACATTGAAGCTGAAAGACTATCTGTGGTCTAGGATCTGGAAAACAGAAGTCAAAGCAAAAATTGCCGTGTGTTTCTCCATAACACTTTGCATAAATAGCTTGTGAAACATGTAGCTCACCTGTTTAGTTCATGTACCATTGAGGTTTCTCTGTGGCCTCGCATTACCATTTGTTGTTCTTTCAATTGTTTGGCCACCTATATAGAATCAAGGAACAGAGCAAGTAAGTTTAGAGTCATTTGCCAAGGCCACAGAACTTAGTAGAACAGGAAAACAGAAGCAAGACATTTCAGTAAGTTGTGGTGGGTTTGGGTATTTTTGGTATCATTTGGGGTTTTTTATATGTTCAGGTGACTTTAAAGTATCCAGTAGTTTAACTTCAGACTGAATGCAGTCACAGGCACTTTTCCACACTGTCAATTACACAAAGCTTTTTGGATAATTCTAGTCCTATTGAGAAAGGAAAATCTGGAAATTGGTAGGCTCTCATACACATAATCCAATTCCTGTTTTGCCACTTACCCTTCTCCTGGCTAGGGTTTAGTAGACGTTAACAAAACCATCCTATGAAGCGTCCACTCCATTTCAGTTTCCCACATTCAGTTGAACTATTTATTTGTGAGGCCATATTAGAAACTATATGACTTAGAAACATTATTGGAACGTTGTTATTAAATCCCTTCTTGGAACATTATTCTTAAATTGGATTTCTGCAATTCCACAGGGTCACAATAGAGCCCTGAAAACATTTTACTAATAACTGAGGGGAACTGAAACTCTATCAGGGGAATTTCCGAAGGTGCCTGTCACTGAATTTAATGTACTGAAAAACACACACTCAGATGATTAAGCTACCACTTTTCTACTCTAGAGTGAACATTTAAGTAATGATTTATAATTTTTTATTTCTGACCTTGTTTACATGGACTTAATTTTATTTGTTACCAGGAAACTATATGAAAGTGTTAAAAGCTGTATGTTGGTTGATACTGAAATAAAAATCTGGCTACACATGGCTGTGAGTGCCTCCCTGCATGCCTGACAACAAGCAGTTAGATGCAAGTCCAAAACAAGAGAGTGCTCATGCTGTTACAGTAACTGTGCAACTATTACATATTTGTTAAAGAATGGATTAAACCATTCCATATGGCTGCCAAACTTCATTTCCTACCCAAAACCACACAATACAAACATACCACGATGACAACTATTTTCCATCTTGTTTTCCATTTCCAATTTCAGAATCATATAGTTGCTGAATATCAAATATCCCGTAGCAAATGGAAATTTTGAGAAGCTATGCTCAGGTACATTAATGCACTGCACTATATTTTCTGTTATCAGCACTCTCAAGTTAAAAATAACAACTTCTAGTTAATCTTCCCCAAAAAGAAGTTAAGAACTCTCTATGCCAGGCAGAACTTGAACCTTCAAGTTCTTAAGTGGCACCTGGCTTGCACACGGTGCAGCTGTCATTTGGCACTAACAGAGTTTTACCTTTCCTGTTACCTTGCCTGCCCTCTCACTGATCAGATGTTACATATCAATGTTCAAAGTTTCCTAACACCAATGAAAGCAATTATTTGAGTTTTGTTGCTGTTCGTTTTGAAAAAGCAGTAAAGAAAACAAGAAAAAAAATTATCCCCATTCTGCTCTCATCCTCCCCACTTACAAAAAAGACTCGGTCACTGTTTATACAAATGACAAACATTATCAACAAGATTACTAGCATAACAGCTATTGCAGAAGAAAGTCAGTCTTATTCTTACAACAGCCCATCTGTTTTCATCATATAAGCTTACATAATTTATCATTTTAAACTTACATCTTTGGCAGAGGAGCCAGAGACTTCAATCCACGTCTTAGAGAAGAAAGCACAGGAGCCCAACATAAATACTATATAAACAACTGCATGTACGGGGTCTTCTAACACCGAAGAAAAGGACTCTGGTGGTGACAGATAATAACAAAGGCCACCAACTGGATAAGCACGAGCAGGGCCTCCAGATGACGTGTCCTAGAAGAAGGAAGAAAGCAGTCACAACTTTCTCACTATTTCTTAGCCATTAAGCTAAGCTTCGGTTTATATCACCTTCATCTCACTGTGTATCATTACCACTACAGCAGGACACAAAGATTCAACTTTACTGTCACAAGCAGTTTCTAAAGTGGAAATGGAATACAAAAAGTAACAACAAAAATACCTAGGACAGCAAAGAACAGCCCAAGGTAAAACGTAAATGGAGACCTAACACTCGTCACAGCAGGTCTCGTACTCTGCCATTGATTTAAACAAATTACTAGTTTAGGAGTTTCAGTGTACATAACCTGCAGAAGTCTGCCTTAATACTTAGAGACCATATCTTCAACCACGCATTTTAATGGTGCTCTTATAAAGCTGTATGCAAGATTAGAAGGAATACTCACAGACCAAGTGCCCAGCAGGCTAACCAGTAAGTTGCCACTGAAGCGAGCAGAAAGCATCTGGGAGATGACGTACAAGTTTGACACCAGGGCGGACTGAAGAATAATGGGAATGTTGGAAGTATAGAACAGCTTGATAGGGTAGGTGTTGTACTGGCCACGGTAGCGAGCAGATTTGATAGGAAGATCCACTCTGAAGCCCTGAAAAGTTTTCAAAAGTCCCCCATTATATCTGGAGATGAACCCACACCACAGTTCATAAATTGCAAGTGCAGGGCCTCGACAGCAACAAAAAAAAAATATTTGTGATCATTTTGTGCAAGCACACATACTCTACCCAGAGGGTTAACCATGCGAACACTTCTGCAGAGGGCCTGGAACCCTGCTGAGTTGTCTAAACACACACATATAAGAAGGTATGAAAGACATCAGAAGACACCTGAAGTTTCAAGAAGACTGAACATAGCATCCTGTAATAGAAACATTTAAACTTTCTGTGTTCTTCAGCAGTTTGCTGCAACAAACAGCAAGAAACACAGAGGCTTAAAGATGTCAAATTATTTTCCAGCAAAAAGCAATAGCATTTGGGTTAGGCAATATTACATATACATATTCATCTGGGTTTTGCTTTTTTTTTTTCCCAGAGACCAAAGTAGGTCTCAAAGTCTTTTGTGTGGCTACAATAAGCGTGGAAGGGAAGCTAGTGTTAAATGAACATCCAGATGTTGCAGGTGCAAAAATAAGTCTTCTGAAGGCACTAGAAAGTGAAAATACAATTTCCTGTATGGGGAAACAGATTACAGATCTACTTCTGTACAAACAATTTTACAGTCCTCTTTATTCCAACTGACCTGGAAATATATTACAATAGCAAAGACAAAGATGGTGGCAATCAGATTCATAAGGTTGGGGAGATTCTGACGGTAAAAGGCCTCACGAAGAGCTCTGACTTTGTCTGTACGAGTAGCCAAAAGATGGAACAGAGCAATGATGGCTCCCTCAAATTCCATGCCTTGGAAAGGAAAAGAAAAAACAAGTTAAGTGTGCTGTGATTATCTCCAAACCTCAGTGCTTTGTCCCATTACGCATACTTCTGAGCTACAGGACTCGGAACGGGATTTCTCCAAGTCTTCTGCATCTTGAGCATGCTCTCAGACTTTTACTATTGTCATCCTTCATATCAGCTATGTTATTTCCAAGATTTTTTTTTTTAAATCCCCCTGTAGTTGGGATCATAACCAAACAATCAAATGGGATAACTAGAAACATTGACATTCACCAAGTTCTTTACCCCTTTCCTCCTCCCCACCAAAAAAAAAAAAAAAAAGAGGCAGCATGCTTTCTAGTATCATTCATGGTGAGACACTAGTTATTGTTTGTATTACACAGCAAATGTGAAACTTCACTTATGTTGTCTATTGTACAGCACCAAACAAGATCACCTCCTGTCAGGTTTGGAGAATAAGGTCTTTTTAGGGCAAAGGGTAAGAAATGCAAGGAGCAGAAAGAAATAGATGCTATTTTTCAGTAAGTTGGGCAGCAACTGTAGTACAATGGCAATCTACCATTATTGAGTTTTAAAAGAGGCACTGTAAGAAATTCAAGTTGAGGAAATATCTTGTGAGATACTACAAAATTAAAAGAAATGTCTTTTTACTTGCACCTTGCATAGGAGCACTTGCTGTATTAACAAGATTCACTAAGTGGCAACTACACAGCTAAGATGGTAGTAACAGCATATGCCATTTAAGTTAACTTACTGCAAAAAAAAGATTTTGCCTTTCCGTACACAATTTTTGTAAAGAAAATGGAGTGTGCCATATTACCTCGTCCTGTGTTCACCGTGGTGGGGCTGAATGCTTTCCACACAATAGTCTCACAGATATTGGTAGCAATGAAGAGAGATATGCCAGAACCGAGACCATATCCTTTCTGTAGGAGCTCATCCAAGAGCAGAACTATCAATCCAGCAACAAAAAGCTACAGGAAAAAAATGAAACACAGCATTAATGCCATCCTTTTTAAGTTTGGTTAAAAAAAACAAACACCTAGACCAGGTTGTATTAAAAGATAAGGAAAGACTATATATATATGAGGAAGCAGGCACTTTGACCTTTTTTTTTCCTCTGCATGTGGGACAGGCAGTCCTTAAGGCTGATTTTTTGACCCTTTCAGAGGGAGAGTAAATAAGTAGAGAGAACTAGAAATTACCTGAATTGTGATAAGCAAGCAGATACCAGCACCCATCTCAGATGGGTCTCCATACATTCCAGTCATTACATAGACAATAGACTGTCCGATGGTAATGATCATTCCAAACACTGTAGAATAAAAAAAAAAGTATGTATTTGTCCTAAAGATTTGTCAGTGGGCAATTAGAGAAATATAAATCACTTCTTTGTAGAGAAAGTTGGGAAGGAATACATAAGTCACAGGATGTATGAATTCAAGGGCAGGTTATGTCTGTTGTCTGAAATCTAATACTGAAAATACAAATACACACAGATACTTCCGAAACAAATACACTTAGAAGCAAGTGGGTTTGGTTACCGAAGATATTGAAAACTCTGAGGGTTTTAGATATTACCTTAGCAATTCAGGATTCCTTTTTCCAGTAAACAGATCAGTAAGTAGACCGGTACAGAATCAAATAGCTAAAGAATTGTTTTGGGTTTGTGCGACAAGGTTTTGGCGGGGGGGGGCTGCAGGGGTGGTTTCTGTGAGAGGCTGCTAGAAGCTTCCCCTAGGTCCAAGAGAGCCAATGCCAGCCAGCTCCAAGATGGACCCACCGCTGGCCAAGGCTGAGCCAATCAGCAACAGTGGTAGCACCTCTGTGGTAACACATTTAAGAAGGAAAAAGAAAAAAAAAAAAAAAAAAACCCAAAAA